CCCTCACCGTAATCCCCATGCTCTGTACGTTTCTCACCTATAATGTTTAATCCCAAACGTAGTAAAAACCTGTTTGAATCGCGCCTACTTGGCCAGTTATAACCCTAGTGTTGTGTCATTAGCAAAGTGCAATATTTAATTCGCCCGTTTCTTGTTCTCCTTCTCACTCATGACATAAGACGGTTGTTTAAATTTGTAAAGTTTGGTCACAGGTGACCGAGCACGCCCGTTAGCGCGTAATCTTTAGTGAACGGTCAGATAAATTACTGCGCAAACGTATTTATAAAAGACTGCATACTGTTGCTTTCGATAGAAACGCGCTGGTTAGTAGTATACCATCATGGTCACTCCACCAGCATCACCCACATCAGTTCGTGGGGATTTCCAGATTCTATATATATATATAAAGAAGTCATTCGGGCAAACGGAGCAAATTGCAAGTTACTGCGTAGAGGTTCGTCATGTTTCAAACATCATCTTTCTAGCTTTTAATTTGATAAATCAAAGAAAGACACTCCCACCAGGGTTCTCATTTGGATGATCTCTTTTTCTTGGATTTTTTCCAAACTTGGAATAATGATTTACGTACGCACCAGGCCTAGTGACGATATTATCATGCTCCTGTTCTAATTGTAAAATTGATACATTTGCGATACAGCTTTTTTTCTTTTTAAGTGTGGGATTGAAATCAAACATGACCACATTTCGCCTCTAATTTTCTGCGTGGGGACTCTAAAATAATTCGACATTATCCAGAGATCTTCTCCCGTTACCCATTTAATCAAGTTATCTAGATTATGCCGTTCGTGGATCACCATTGCCTCTTTTGATTCCATTATTCGAATCGACTCTACAGCGTAAAAAATTGGCGCTCATATGACCTTATGCAGTTGCGAGCGCCGTAAAACGTCTACTAAACAAACATACAGTGTAACCATTATTTGAAAATGTGAAATTCTAAGATAATAATTTATGAGGTGGGACCTCGGAGTTTAATGTCCATCTCCCGAAGGACCGAGCTAAATGTGAAAATTCGTGTAAAACGTCTTTCCCAAGGACACGACGTCGGACTGCGCTGAGCAAAGCCTCTTTTTCCTCCCTCACGCCGTGCGTACGTCATAGAATGTAGCCCAACAACAAAACATCTCATTATGGGACGACGGCCGAGTCCGGATTTCAAGTGTGTGTCCCTGTGACCGTGTGAGCAGCACCGTACGTCAATGGCTTACTACGAGGGTGGTTGGCGGGTGCTCTGGTGTGGTTTGCTTCTTCTTTCCTATCAAACATCTATTATCGCCCGTCTCTCTCCTCTTTCTGTTTCGAATTTGTTACTCTCTTGTAATACCTCTAATCTTCGGCACTTATATGACCTTATTTTGTTGCAAGTGCCGTAAAGCTCTTACTAAAACTAAAATGACTTACTACCAGACATATATACATCTATAAATATAACAGTTTACGTGGACCG